TACCTTCTGTCTGTTTCCTCCTACCGTCTCTCAGTTTCCCCCTACCTGCTCTCAGTTGCCCCCTGCCTTTTCTCAGTTTCCCCCTACCTTCTCTCAGTTTCCTCTTGTCGTTGCTGGTCTGTACGATCCCGAGCAGACCACTTATGGAGTAGGATGATCCAAGCGAGTCACTTGTAGGGGGAGATTCAGGGGGTGTGACTGTTGAATTGGGGACTGGAGAATAGAAGCAAACAGAAAGTTAGTCATCGCGAAATGTTTTCCCCCGTTCTACCTTGAGCCTCGGCAAGACCAATAAATTGACAACGAGAGTTAAGAACTCTTTCTGTTCCATGAATGGATGCAGAACCGACGACGTGCTCGGAAAGATGATGAATTTGCAACGTGTCCGCTCTCACCAATCTTTTTTTTTTGTATAGATGCTCCGTGGAAAGCATCCTATCCAGATGCCTCATAGCATAGTGCAGCAGCTTCTCTGCCCAAGGCAGCAAGAAATTACAGAGAATTGCAAACGCAGCCCAGTTCATCTCCCCCCATCCATTGACTCCACCGCCACCTTGGGAAAATCAAATGAACTCTTAGCCAGTTGCCTACTGTGGCTCTCTGTAAATCTGAGTTTATGAACACTCAGGCTTGAAACGAGCAGCCATTGAAAAACAAACCACATAAATGCAGTGAGGGTTTCCACAACTGATTGAGTCTTGGGCCGCGTTTGCTGTTGCAATATCCTGTGGAGTCGCCAAACTGATTCCAGAGGCAAGGTGCTTGGCGAACGGAGAGAGATGGAGCTGTCTTAGGCCTGTACTCTCTTGGAGGTTTGGGGATCTAATTGCAAGATGTGAAAGGGGACTGGCACAGTAGACGTAGAGAGGACGTTTGCTCGTGTTGGGGGGAAGGGGCGCTTCGGAACGAAATAACTCCAGGATAAGACTTAAAACAGAGATGAGGAGGAGTCACATCTCTCAAAAAAGTTGCGAACCTGTCGAATTCACTATGCGGTGGATGATGGGGAAATTGAGGAAATTTAAGGAAGAGATTTGCTTTTAATCGGTGGTTGGGTCAAAGGGAGCGGAAACCAAGGTGAGGTTGGCCAGGATGGATTGGAATGGTGCAGTGGGGCCTGAGAAGCTGAAATAGTTTACTCCTGTTTCTATACATGATGTCCTTCTATCAACTCCCGAAAGATCCTATCGGACCACCAAGTGCGGATTTTTTCCAGTGGCTAAAGAAATCAGCAAATCCTTAACAAGGAAAATGTCGGCCTTTATTGGTATCATCACAGATGCCTGCTTTTATGGTACTGGTCAAGGACATAATGGAATGTAAGCAGATACCAGAGGAAGCTGGTCCCATTTCTGGGTTCTACGTTTATTTTCCTATTCGTCGCAGGAAACTTCAGCGCCACGTGCGTTTAAAAGTAGGTGGGAGCGTTCGCTTCCAACTCCAACAAAACCGACATTGTCCAGACAAAAATGGGGGTTCCTCAGGCCTCTCCGCCAAACCGCGATCCAACAGCGAGAGCCCAATTAAGCGAAGAGGCAAGGTGTTATTCATATGGTCGTTCCTGTGGTCCCATCTCTCCCGACCCTGAGTTAGACCATAAAACCATCAGAGGTAGGAGCCGGAAAGGGTCATTCAGGCCCTTGGCCTAGACTTCAGGCTGTACCTGGGCCTTGCTCTGTGACTGAGCGTTCCAGGCCATTTATGGAGATGGGATTTTGGCCCCTCTGCCCATTTAATACGATTGTGGCTGATCTGACCTTCCTGGCGTCCGCTTTCCTGCCCCTTTTTTACCCCCCCCCCCGTAAGCCTCAATCCCCCTTAATCAGGAATCCTGCAGTGAGTAACTCCCCCCCAAAGCCTGTCCCACCATCGACAAGGTACAAGTCAGGAGTGTGATGGAATACTCCCCACTTGCCCCGGATGGGGGCAGCTCCAACAACACTCGAGAAGCTTGACACCATCCAGGGACAAAGCATCCCCCCGCTCGATTGGCTCCACATCCACAAACATCCCACTCGCCCCACCACCGACGCTCAGTAACAGCAGTGTGTACCATCTACAAGATGCACTGCAGCAACTCACCGAGGCCCCTCAGACAGCACCTTCCAAACCCACGACCCACTTCCATCCAGAAGGACAAGGGCAGCAGGTACATGGGAACACCACCCCCTGCAAGTTCACCCTCCGAGCCCCTCACCGTCCCCGACTTGGGAAATATATCGGCCGTTCCTTCAGTGTCGCTGGGTCAGAATCGTGGAACTCCCTCCCTGAGGGCACTGTGTGGGGGTCCCTACACCACACGGACTGCAGCGGCTCACCCCCACCTTCTCAAGTGGGGGAAATTAGGGGGGCAAATGGGGCAATAAATGCTGGGCCCGGCCAGCGATGCCCACGAGTGAATAAAGAGCTGGCAAGCAAAGATTGTACGATTCGCCTCTGGGATGGCGCATAATTTATAAGCAATCCTACAGCTCAACCCTGGGAACTCTCTGCTGTAGGAGCTGTCAAGTATGTTGCACAAACACACCGCAGTTGTACCTGACTTCAACTGTTAAATAATAAAATTGGTTCACTGACAGTGATCCAAAGGCAGCATCTTGGATGACAGGAGAACTTTCTCAGTTTGTTAAAAAGAAGAAACTTTCTCTGAAGTGCCGGGCTGGAGCAGAGATGAAGCTCTCAGCTGAAACTGAAGGGAGTTTGGCAGAGTTAAGTTTCAGGTGGGGCAGGATTTAATCGAACAGCGTTTCGGGGTGGGGGGGGTGGCGCGGATGGCCCAGTAGCGTCATCATTCAATTATTAATAGCACAAGGAGGGGGGGACCCTGGTTCGAATCCCACCGGGTCAGCAGGTGATGGAATGTAAATTTATCAGCAGTGTTAGAAATGACAGATGAAGAATGATGATTATTGGGTTGAATGATTCGTTTGCCATGTTGGAGGCTATTAAATGGTCCTCCTTTCCCTCCCTGTGAATTTAAGCCAAACGTGGTCAACTCTTAACTCTGGGACAGTTTAGGGAGGATAATGAATGTTGACAACTTCAGCGCGAATGAATTTTAAAGAAAACGTTTGCAAATCTTTAAAACGAAGACCCCTTTCATCTCTGGCTCCCAGACCATGAGGGGTGGTTCGCAAAATGTTGGTTCTCTGCTACCTCTATATTTCACTCAGAAGCAACCTGCTGTCGTCTTAATTTTGTCAAAGATATGGTCGAAGGCTTTTTGTTACAAAGGTGGAGCAGGATTCTTTCAAACTGTAAACTGCGTGATTAAACTATGTCCCCAGGAACCACAGCGCACGTCAATAAATTCTACTCTCTAGTTATTCCCTACATGCTACTTTCTTTTCTTTATTTTAAGGGACCGCACTCATGAGAAAGATCAATTTGTGGAAGGTGTTGTCCAGGGGTCAGATGAGATCCGGGTTTCTCTGGCGCTGAGTCAGCGTTCCCGATCCAAAATCCATCAGAGTGTATCGCCAAAGCTCAGAGTTTCCCTTTGTTGTAAACTAAGCTGTAAATCTCCTCACTCTCTCTCTCTCTCTCTTTAAAATTCACCGGGCACCTGGAAACCACCAATCTGCATCAGCAAACCACCATCCTCACTCTGGGGGTGGGGGCACCGACACACCCTCTGTGAGATTGCTTCCAGTGAAAATTTGGGGAAGCAGGGCCGTGGGATCCCGCCCAGCAAGATCCCACCGATAGCGGTGCGACAACGACTGAATTTGTTTCCGTTCTCGATGCCGACCGGGGGTTGGGAGTTGGGAGTGAGTACTTGAGTATTGCTAAAGAAGGCATCTACTGTCAAAGCTATCCCAGCCCCATCAGGACACTTTGCAAGAATGCCAATTTGAGTGGGGGGGGGGAGAGGGTGGGGCGGGGAAAACAACTTTTCTTCTCTGCGAGTGGACTCTGATTGCTAGAGGCTTTGCCGAGGTGAATGCCACAATCGGCGATGATTGACAGTTAACCTCCACGTTTTTGTTTCAATTTTAAACCAGGCAGGTCGATTGGGTGAGGCATCGCCCTGAGAAATGAGCCAACAGGTGGCTGTCGCACAGACATACACACACGCACTCACACACACACACACACACACACACAGACACACACACACACACACACAGACATACACACAAATACACATGCACACGCACACACACACACATACACACACACACACAGACACACACACACACACACAGACATACACACAAATACACACGCACACGCACACACACACACATACACACACACACACAGACACACACACAGACACACAGACATACACACAAATACACACGCACACGCACACACACACACATACACACACACACACAGACACACACACACACACATAGACATACACACAAATACACACGCACACGCACACACACACA